TTAAAAACTGTTCTGAATTTTTCCTAACGTGGCATGATTGCTTTTTTTGTATTCTATTTTTTCTCATTTTGTTTTTATAGCTTCCATTCTAAAGCAAATTACTTTGCCTGGAAATAAAATTTTGTCGCTTCAAGCATCGACTGCTATTCAGAAAAATAAAATAAAAGAGAACGGAACAACAGGCTTAAGGTAAAGAAGATAAATAGTTAAAACTTGGTCTGGTTTTAACTAGAAGGAAGTAATATTTAAGAAAAAACCGTCAAAGAATAATACCTTAATAAAATAGATATATTGATATGTTTGAAAAATAGAACAATACTTTATTGAATATAATTTATAAATTAGTGAAATGCCCAAGTCTTAAGTGTTTTGTTCATTGAATTTTGAAAAACATGTACCTGTGTAGTCCATTGTGGAGTAAGTTGGTGAACATAATCATTCGTTTCTTTTATGCTCCTTTCAAAGCGGTTAGCTCCACCCCTGCCTCTGGTGGTCACTGTTCTGGGGTCTTCCTTGACTATCACATAAGAAGAATATTTCGTTATCAACGCAGTCCTCCCTTATCTGCAGTTTTGCTTTCTGGCAGCCAACAGTGGCCTGAAAATAGGAAATGGAAAATTAATTGTGTGCTGTTCTGCATGGCATGATGAAATCACTTCATGTCTAGGAGGTAAATCGTCCCTTCATCCAGTGTGTCCATGCTGGACATGCTGTTTGCTGCTCCACCTTCGAGTAGCTGTCTTCCTTACCAGATCGACTGCTTGATGCTTACGTTCAAGTTACCTTCACCTTTCCACTTAACGTCTTCAGCGAACGCTGCTGCCTGAGGCTCCCTCCCAGTCCAGCGCTTTTCACTACACGTGTGTGTTTCACCTCACTTTGTCTCTTCATGTAGGCATTGTATCATCTCATATTGTCACAAGAAGGGTGAGCAGCCGAAAGTAAGACATTTTGAGAGATTGTAAACTGGGATATTATTTTTCTTTTTTATTTACCGATCTTTTGAAGTTTTCTTTTTTTGGTATTGGGGATCGAACTCAGGTCCTTGTGCTTGAGGGGCAGGTGGCTAGATCTTCTGAATATTCTTTTTCTTTCCGTTGTGTTGAGGCTGTGGTTATCATCCTGTGTTGTTTTTGGAGGAAATATTGGAAGACAGTGACATAGTAATCACTGTCTTCCGGTTCAGCGAGTTTTGATAAAAGGCCAAATCCAAGTACCACAAAGAATATTTTTAGCACACTAAAAGTTCCCTTTTATTCCTCCTCAGCAAGTCCCCACATTATACCCCAGACCCCAAACAACCACTGATCTGCTTCTTAACATTGTAGATTAGATTTGTCTTTCCTAGAGTTTTGTGTAAGTGGCTTCATAAAGTTTGTATTCTTCAACCTGTTTTCTCAGCATATGTTTGATATACTTCTCTGTTATTTATGTAGTTTGACTTTTTTATTGCTAAGTAATATTCTGTCTTATGCATATCCAGTTGCTTACACAAAATTATTTCATGATTACCTCTTGGTGGACATTTGAATTGTTTTATTTGTAGCAGTTCTGAATAAAACTGCTGCAAAAACTGTGTCCAAGCATTGAGCATACATTTTTTCATGCTGTAAATACATAAAAGTGATATTGCTAATTCATGTGGGAAAACTGCCAAACTGTTTATAAAATTTAGCTCTTGCCCATTGGCACATAGTTGGAGCCCATTGTGGCCTTCATTTGCATTTCCGCAGTAACTAATGATGCTGAATGTTTTCATGTCTTAGTGTCCGTTTGTGCAATCTTTTTTTGTGAAATGTCATTTTAGATATTTTGCCTGCTTTTGAATTGAGGTTTTTTGTCATGAAGATGATCATTGATTTTTCTTTATATTATTAGTATTATGACTTGTATTGGTTTTTAAATTCTGAATCTTGAGTCAGCCTTGCATTCCTGATTACTAGCTTTTTAAATATTTTGCTAAGGGTTTTTGTATTTGTTCATATATTTTGGTGTATAGTTTTCTGGTTTTTTCTTTTAGTACTGGGGATTGAACTCACGATCTTGCGCTTATGAGGCAGGCATGGTGCCATTGAGCTAAAACCCCAGCTTCTGTTTTCTGTTTTTATAATGACTTTGCCAGATTTTGAGTTTGTGATTATCCTGGGCTCAAAAAGAATGACTCATAAAGTCTTTGTCTTTCCTGAGTTTTAACATTTTATGTAAAATTAATATCATTTCTTCCTAAAACAAAGAATGGCCTCACCATTGAAATTAGATAGGTTTCTTATTCTTTTTTTTCTTCCATTATGTTTATTGGTACTTGTTAGGTAGTTACATTCATCGTTGGGATCTTGTACCTTTCCATGACAGATCTTGGTTTTCGAAGTTAGGTTTCTATGGGGGATGGTTTTTGATAAAGTCAATTTCATTTATATACAGAATCTCTTTAATTTGTTAGTCTGTTTAGTCGGTTTCAGAGGTTGAATTTTTAAAGTATTGCATATTTACTTGTATATTTCAAATTTATTGGCATGAAATTGTTCCTAATACCGCTTTTATTTTAAATATCTGTAGATTTCTATTTCTAGGGAAGTACCATGCATTCTTTGAAGAATTTTGGGTATTTATTTTAGTAGTTGACTTTTTGGGGCATAAAATTATTAATCTTATATAATGTCTATTTAGAGCGAAATTTCCTGTGTTCATGCCTACGGTTTTAATTCATTTTTAAAAGAATTAAATTTTGATTGTTATTATTTATTCATTTTCTCTATTTCATTCTAAACAAAAATAAGCCCTTATTTTATTTTTTTTGGTACTGGGGATCGAACTCAGGTCCTTGTGCTTGCAAGGTGAACCGCTGAGCTAAATTCCCAGCCCCTAAGCCCTTATTTTAGGCTTAAGGTGCTCCTCTTTTTCTAGCATCTTAGGTTGAAAATTTAGATCTTTAAATTTAAATATTTTCTTGTGTAAGCATTTATAACTCTAAATTTCTCTAAGTACTGATTTTATATCCAACTAAATACAATTTTGTTTTCATTTGCATTCATGCTGAAATAATTTTTCTTCTTTTCCTTCTATTCAATAGTCTAAATATATGGGACTTTTCCAGATCACTTTATGCTAATAAAATGTGATCAGAGAACATGGTCTTTAGATTTCAGTCTTCTTAAATATGTTGATACACTACAATTTGGCCCATGTCGAGGACCATCTCATGAGTACTTGGAAAAGTGTGTTTAATTAGTTTTGAGAAGTGTTTTGTTTTGTTTTTTGGTAAATGTTTAGCTGTTTGGAATGTGGCTGTGCTGACCAGGTATGGCGGGGGGTACTCCGGCCAGAAGGCAGAGACTTAGTTTACCCATTATGTTCGCATTACCCGGTGATGCATCCCCCTAATTTGTGTTTGTTTTTATAGTTTTCAAAAAGTCTTATTTTTAAAAATTGTGTACTGATTTTGTAATTGTTATTAATCAAGCCATTCTGCCATTTCCAAAAATTACAACCTACTTTTTTAATGGCTTATTGTTCTGATGTAGTTATCTATCTTTTCCTGTTTTTTGAATAATTATTGAATTATTTTAAAGTCAGTGCTTTACTATATCTAATATTATTTATCTGGGATTTTGTTTCTGTTACCTGGCTGTTGAGTCCTGTTCCTTGGTGTATTTGATAAGATTTAAATCACTGTTAGCATAATTTTGAGAAAAAATTATAGGAGTTCTGGATTATTTCATTCCCAGAGGACAGAGGAGAAGGAACTGTTTTAATCTCATTGGTGATTGAGCTGGCCTAAAGTTAATTTTAACCTTTCCAAGACTCTGTGATTTTGATTCTCCCACCCCAGTAGTCCAGAAGACTCAGGGTGCTTTTCTTTGCTGGGTTATGAACCCAAATTTTTATTTCTCTGATACTTTCTCTAACCTAAAACTCACTGTGTTTTCCCTAGGCTTTCTGTGCTTGACTTCTTTGAATTTTCTTCTGCAGTGCTTCAGTGGGAACTGCTTTATATTTTCATAGGCTCCTGGCCCATCCCTCAAGCGTTGGAAGCTTTGAGCTTCAGCTTTCTCCATCTTCATGAGATTGCCTAATGCTCTGTTGGCTTTCCTACCTCTTAGCAGCTGGTGTCTCTGTGGCTGTTCATTGTCTTGTTCCACATCAAGAATTAGCACATAGCCAGGGGAAAAACAAGACAAAGAAAATGGGGTTACTTTAGTGAGGCTGTCTGCTCTAAGGCCTGTGGCCCCTCCAGACTTGCTCTCCTGGCAGCTCTGTGCTGCCTTTGGACAAACTTTTGAAAAGAACTGTTCTGGCTCTGTCAGTTTTCTGTACTCAGCACAGTCATCTGGTATGGATAATGCTGTGTAACCAGAAGTAGATTTTCTTGTGTAAGTTTTTATGCATTTTTGTGTTCAAAGATCTATTGGAGTTGGTTTGTAATTCACGTTCTATTTCTGTATAACATATTTTGATGAACGCAAGTTCTTAAATAGGTAAAGTTGGCAGTTTCTTTTATGAAAAGTGCTTGTTTAGTGCTTATTCAAGAGCTCCTCCTGGATAGTATGAAGATATTCTCCTATGTTATCTTCTTAAAGTTTTACTTTTAATGTTTAAATCTTTATGTGATCAGGAGTTAATTTTATACTTGTTTATTTCTGTGCTGTAGACTACAGAGCCTAGTTCCAGCAGCATTACTGAAGAGTCCATCCTTCCTCAGTTACCTACAAGTAGCCTGTGTGTCGTATATGCAGATGGCTTTTCTGGATTCTCTATTCTCAATTACTAATCTTGTTTCTTTTTTTTTTTTTTTTTTTTTTTTTTTTTTTTTTTTTTTGTACCGGGGATTGAACTTGGGTGCTTGCGCTTGCAAGGCAGGCCACCGAACCGCTGAGCTAAATCCCTGGCCCCTAATCTTGTTTCTAATAGCATACTGTTTAATTTACTGTAATTTCAAAATAACTCTTCCATCTGATAAGGCACATCCTGTTTACCTCTCCTTTACTTCTTTTCCTTCCTTTCTTCACTTTTTCTCTTCTCAATTTTCTCAACTGTACTTGGGCTTTTGCTGTTTCCTATAAATTTCAGAATCAGCTTAAGTTCCACCCAAAATCTCCATTTCAATTTGAATTGGCATGGCTTCCAGTCTGTATTCCTCCGACTGATTTTTTCAGTGTTTTGAGCCTCTATAAACGTGATTCATATCTTCA